CATTAATTATTTCTGTCTGCTCCTTGATTACCAGCAGCATCACTATGGGAGTGCAGTCCACACCAGGTAACATTTCAGAGGAAGGGTGACCCTCGATCAGGCCCTCCTCCTGCTGCAGTGTGTGTATGTGTTGGTGCTGCTGCACTGGCACCTGTCCTTTTCCACTGTCCTAGCACTCTTAGCAATTTAACAATAGAGCAGGGGTCCCCACACTTTTTCAGCTGGGGGCCGGTTCGCCGTCCCCCACATCTTCGGAGGGCTGAAGGGAAAAAAATCACAGCCAGAAGTGCATGTGCATGCATGCACACATGCGAACTACTCAGGGTGCCATTTTGTGTTCCAAAATGGCGCCCAGTCATGTGCATGCGCCCAGCATCGCGCACACATGCACACGACTCCAGGCACCATTTTGTAACACAAAACAGCGCCGGAGTAATGCGCATGTGCGTGCGACGCAGGGCACCATTTTGTGTTCCAAAATGGCATTCGGAGTCATGCGCATGTGCCCGGCGTCGTGTGTGCATGTGCACAACTCTGGGCGCCATTTTGGAACACAAAATGGCACCCTGCATTGTGCATGCATACGCACTACTCTGGCGCCATTTTGTGTTCTAAAATGGCACTCTGTGTCGCGCATGCGCGGCAGCGGCGAAAGGCCTCGACGGGTCAATTCGGCCCGCGGGCCGTAGTTTGGGGACCCCTGCTCTAGACAGAGGGAGAAGGAAGGATGAGTTGTACCCCTTTCATCCCCTTCTGCTACCTAACTTGCCCAGGTAAGCAAGTGAGCGAGTGAGCCAGCGGCAGGGGAGAGGAGGCAACAAGGTTTGGCTGGATGGCACGTGGCCAAGGAGGGGAGGCAGGCGAGCAAGGCAGAGAAAGGGAGGCAGTGCAGGCCAACACTGCCCCCGTAGGCAACTCCCTGCACCAGGTGACACCAAGGCCAGTGACACAAATGTTGATTACCAAGATCCAAAGATTGAAAAAATCCAGAGTTTCAGGGGCATGTATGTCTGGTTTCTGTTCAACCACAATGCATGACCAGAAGCCTAAAAAGACTGATGCAACCACTGGAATTTTAGCAACTTTTGATAGGCCTACATCAGGGGTCGGCAACCTACAGCCCGTGGGCCGCATCCGGCCTGAGGACCCCCGCTTACCGGCCCCCGCCACTGCCGCCACTGCTGCCACTGCCAAGAGTACTGCGCATGCACAACGAGCCGTGGCCGCCATTTTGGCAAACAAAATGGCGGCCGCGACATGTGCAGCGGCGGCGGCTGCGCACAGCGGAGGCAACAGACGCGCACATGCACAAGCGTGTGAGCCGCCATTCCTTCCCCCCCCCGGCCCGTCGGAAGGGACCACCGCAAGGGACCGGCCCCAGGTAAGTGAAGGTCGCCGACCCCTGGCCTACATAAATGAATTATTGTACATATGAATAAATTATTGATGTAAAATAAACATTTAAAAGTGAGATATGAGCATTCTTTAAAATAGTTTAAATCAGCCTCTCCCAACCTGGTGGCATCCAGGTATTTAAAGACTACAACACTTATCAATTCCAGATAATATGGTCAGGAGCAAGTAATCAGAGTTAAGAGTGCAAAATGTCTGAAGGACATTCAGTCAGTTTAAATGCTCCAATTAAGAGGCTTGAAAGTGTTTTGTGATGGAAAATTGATTGCCCTAAGAATGAGGTCATGTTGAATTTCCCAATACACTATCAACTGGCAAATGTAAAAAAAAAAAAAAAAAAAAAAAAGCTGTTAGAAAACTGGACCATAAATAATCACTCACCTTTTGTAAGGTCACTGTGTACTGCTCCCATATGAACTCTTCCATGCCTGGGGCCTGTTACACAATGAAAACCAATAGTCAATAGAACATCAAGAAGAAAACAAATCTTAGCATTTCCCACAAAAAGGCTCTTTAAATTGTATAAAATGGCAAGAATGTTTTTCACATATATATTTAACTGCAGTGCTTTTTCTACATTACTATTAATATGCATCACTAGAAATAAATAAAAAAATTAAAAGCAAAATGTAATAGAAGATCACGTCATAGACCATAATTACCTTACACCCAAATGTATTGTGCCAGCAATGCATTTTGCTGGCGAACACAGACAGATTTCAGAGCACATGCCTTGCATGTATATTAATTACCTGATGATCCATTTACTCAAACCAAATTTATACCAAAAATGGGAGCAAATCGTTTATTCTTTCCTGAGCCAATATTGGAAATTCTTTATTGAACTTGGATGTAGAGAAAGATAAGATAATTAATTCAAAAGAGGGATTTGGGCAAACAACATACTTGATGTCACTTAATGTCACAAGTTCACCAGCTTCACTAGAACCGAATGAATGAATAAAACAAAACTGGTATTCTGCCTTCTGCAATGGCTGGACTTTGAAAATATTAAGCCTGGACCACAATTGAGCCCAATGAAACTGAATGGGAACCAGAAATGGAAGGTTTGTTAATGGTTTGTCTCCACAATTGTGGTGGAAAAGACCTCTCAATGAGACCCTGAGGAAACACCTGGGAATCAAAACAGATACAGGAAATCCCTGATTATCTGACAGGTTAGGGAACAGAGGACTGTCAAAAAATGGAATCAGTTGAAAAGCCAAACTCAGTGTTTTTATCTTGCAAATGTAAGACTGACTGAACACTAGATGGTGCCAAGTCAATTGAAGGGGAAATAGTGTGTGGTTGAAAGAGCAGACCGGGGTCCAAAGTGTCATATGTAGCTGTAATTTAGATCCTTTGAAATAGCAGAAGGTCCAAAACCTAGCTGTTAAAATGAGGGAGATGCTTGTACTACTCTAACAGATGGATAAAAGGTGGAAACAGCCATAGATGAAGCTGTAACAAATGGAATCAGCCATAGCGAAATAAAATATACAAACTGACAGCTGTATATTTTGTTTTTCTATGGTGGTTTCCACCTGAGGACCTTCAAAGTACAGTATCTTTAAAAATACCAAAAAAAAAAACCCCACAAAAAAACCCCACAAAAAACTAATGGAAGCTAACATTCAGCATAAGATTAAAAACTAGAAGAAGAAAAATACAGCAATCACCACAAAGGATGCTTCCAGACAACGCTCTTATTGTGCCGTCACTCTGTCTTGTTTACAGCTCTGTCTTGTTTACAGAATTTTACAAGGATCCAGATGTTGTAACTCTTCTGTACTTTCCTGCTACTTCTGCTGCCTTTTCTCCTACTGCAGAAGCGTTATTAAAAAGGGAAAGTCAGAAGAGCTGTACAGTATCTTTTGATTAGTAGTGAGAAGAAACTACCATCTGGAAATAATGTCAGGAGTGAGACCACAATTGAGAAGTTTTATTCAGTGTCAAAGTCCTGAAAACAGAAAACAAAGCAGCAACATTTCTGTAGTTTGAGCAGTACTACACAACGTTAAGGTCCCGGTACTGGTGCCAGTCTATGAACAATTGGCTGCCAGTCCATGGTGAATTTTCAGTAAAGAAAGAGAACAAATACACTATCTGTCCCTGACATATTGGGCAGAAGGGATAATTGCCAGTCCCCTACATGAGAACTTGAGAGGCACTGGTATACAGACCAACAAAGCTCACAGACAGAGTATGTTCTATAACCATGGCTATTTATATGTTATTTATATTTGTATATTGCCTTTCCAGAGACACAGTGCCAGTGGTGCATCTAAGATAAAAGATAAAATTAAATACTTAAGTCAAAATATACAGCAGTCTAAAAACCAGAGCAGAAAAAGACCAGATCTATTGAACAGTAAAACATCAGGTTTTAAACACACCAAATGGGAAATAAATAATCCTTGAGAGGCCAAAGGCTTATATCTACATTTTTAAAACGTTATTAACTTGTTGGCAAAGGAACACCAGAGAAGAGGACAGACAGACTTTCTTCACAAGGGAGTTCCCCACCAACAGTGCCTTTGACGTTTTGGGACAAAAAGAAGGCCCCCTCCCAAAGATGTGAAAACTTGGACAAGTACATCTGGAAGAAAGTGACTGTTCAGGTAAACTGGTCCCAAGCGCTTTGTAGATGATAACTAGGGGTGTGTTGTGCCTTGAAACAGAACTGGTAGCCAGGAAAGCTGTTGTAACACAGGAATCATATACATGTTTATTTAAGATCCTCATCAAGTGTGAAATATTCTTTAAAGTGCTTTACAAATATAAAAAACAAAGCAATCAATAATAGCACAGATTTTACAGCCAAAACAGTATCAACACATTAAATTAACAATGCTAAAAATGTTCAGAGCCAGCAATAAAATTTAAAGAGGCTGCATCTGCACAACGTAAATAATCCAGGCTGACACCCCGTTAACTGCCCTGGCTCAATGCTATGGAATTCTGGGAATTATAGTTTTGTGAGACATTTAGCTTTCTCTGTCAGAGAATTCTGGTGCAAAAACAAACTACAGTTCCCAGAATTCCACAGCACTGAGCTATGGCAGTTAAAGTGGTGTCAAACTAGATTATTTCTGCAGTGCTGATGCAGTCATAGTTAAAGCAAAAACCAAAATCAAAGATGGAAAATGTGCCTGAAGATGAAGGTCTGAAAAGAATCTTTCTCTGGTAGGTTGTCAGCACACCATTGTGTCCCACAACACTTGAAGAACTCCTTCAAAGTTGCCATTATTGACCTTAATACACAGGCAAGCACACAAGGGCCCAGGTCCTAAGCCATTTAGTATTTTAAAGACCCCAGCACTGTGAATGAGGCCCAGAAAGTGAGGGGCACCTAGTGCAAACTGACACAGCAATGGGTTGAACTGTTCAAACAACTAGTCTCAATGAGCAGCCTATTCTTCATGCCGTTGTTGTTGTTGTTGTGGTGGTGGTGGTGTGCCTTCAAGTCATTTCTGACTTATGGTGACCCTGACCCTATCATGGGGTTTTCTTCATGGGGGGGTTGCAACTGTCATCCCCTGAAGCTGAGAGAGTATGAATTGCCCAGGGTCATCCAGTAGGTTTCATGGCAGAGCTGGGATTTGAACCCTGTTCTCCAGAGTCATAGTCCAATATTTCAACTGCTACACCACACTGACTCTCATTTGCACCCTACCTTACAATAACTGAAGACTGTCTTCAAGAATAGCCTCATATATAATGCACTGCAATAATCCAAGTGGGGTGGGGATAGGAGTGAGAGGATACCAATGCATGGATGACCATAGTGTAGCCATATCTGTTCAGGTAGAATCATAGCAGGTAAATCCGTCAGAGCTGATAAGTCACTCCATGCCATTTGGGCCTCAAATGGCAGAGCTAGATCTATGAGCACCCATAAGACTCCTTCCAGAGTTGTGCAAACTCCATCAAGATACCTTTTAATTACTGTTATTGCTAAACTAAGTGGCACTTACTGCATTTACAGTGAGCTCCTAGTATCTGTTGGGGTTTAGTTCCAGGAACCACCGTTGATACCAAATCAGTGTGGATAATCAAGTCCCATTATTTACAGTGGGATTGTAAAATTGTGTCCCTTATATAAAATAGCAAAATTAGCATTTGTTTTTTGTTGTTTTTTTTATAATTATATTTTCAAGCTGTGGATGGTTAAATCCGTGGATGCAGAATGTGTGGAAAGGGAGGGTCAACTGTACTTACATATTTACAGGCCATTTTGATTACAAGCAAGGAGGGCTACTTTGAATCAACAGGAATGATTTTAACAGCATCTTCAGTGCCATAAGGGAAGGTGTATACTTACTACTTTCAAGAAGTCCTAAATTGAGAAGAATAATCTCATTGTTGAATCACAAGATCAGTTAAATCATTTTTTGTTTTATCTTCACTCTATTTTTCTAACTGGTCTTGATCTCACTTCCTCCTCCCTTCCCTTTATTGCACAAGAAACTAATAGAGCTCTATTTGCACACAGCTATTGGGAGAATTTGAAGAATGTAACTTGATTAATGCCAACCCATAAAATATATTTTTATTTGTGAATGAGCTACAAATTATTACACTATTTGTGAAGTCAGTGTAGTAACTTGTGCCACAGAAGATGGCACGGAATATAAATATTCCTTGGAAGGACTTATACCAAGAGAAAATAAAACTGTCTTGAGTTTTTCATCCTGCAGTAATCAAACTAAGAGGAACCAGCTCCTGAGGTCACATTTTACAGGGCAGCGAACGCAGAACCAACAAAGTACTGGAAGTTCACCTTGGGAGTTCACTAGGCACAAAAGCCATCTGTGCTGTCCTAAATCTCCAACTCATAATCTCTTAAACATTATAAAATTTACAGCTGTTTGCCACTGCAGAGATACTAACCAATGCTGACAGATTAATGGAAGGAGCAAATGAGCGTGGGGGGCCGGATAAAACCACAGATGTTATAAGTCACCATCTGAAGATCTCCGACTGTACCAGAGAGAAGAGTAAACGCTCTGTCATAACAAGCATGAAATTCCAACTATATTCAAAACCAACAAACCTAGGGCAAATAATAAGGAACCAATAGTACAAATGCACTACAAAATGAGCTAGGTATCACCTATTCCTGAGAAGGTATTAATGCATCATTTGGGGAAAATGCAAAAATGTAATATGAACACATTATGTCCTGACACAGCATTAAACTGGTAAAGACATAAGTGATTTAATAAATTCTACCAAGACAATATGAAATGAAACATCTTTTGTATGAGCAAACTTTATTTTATCACATGCACAATTTTGCACATAATTCATTCTAATTAGAGCATTAATTTGATGATTAATGTATCAGTCATACTTAGTAAACAAGCTCTTCATAAACATCTGACAAGCATAAAAGTCAAAGAGACCCTCAACTGCAAACTATGTTAAACTAAACTAATGATGCCATGTTCTCATCACTATAAAATCATCTTTGTCATTTTAAAATACAAAATCTTAATGGATGATGAGTGGGACAGTTAAATAATATACATGTGTATATTTAGAATACTTAAAAACGAACTCACGTGCCATTTTATAATCCTCAACTTTTTCACAGCATGTAGCCACATTCGTTGTAGTGCTTGAGCTGTCTTCATTGTGGCTGGCTATAATCTGTTAAGGGACTCTGAATGTCCCAGTCTTTTCATTAGTTTCTACCACTCAAACATTGTTATGTAATTCTAATACAATAGTGGCCTACATACTCAGCCAATCCTGCCATCATTTCACATGGTAACATATAAAAAAACCTGAAACATGCACAGACGAGAACACACCTACCTCATCAACCAATGTCACTTTCTAAACAGGAAAATAATCCTGTACTGTAATTCGACATTCCTGTTTAAAGAACAAATGTTTCTTGCTAGCTGAAAATCAACATGGAGAATCTTACCCTCCAAGGGGACCGCAGCAACATGGGGACTTGGCAATTAGTTATATGAGAAGCTTATAGGCACAAGACAAGACTCAAAAGCACTATCTGGCATACAAATGTTGTATACTGTACAGCATACCACAATCTGAGCTAAGAAATAAATGTTGCTTTTTTGGACTACAGCTTAAAGAATTCTCCATCTTAAAGAATGCTGCCTAGGAGATTCTTGGAGTTGTAATCCAAGACGTTATTGTTTTGTTTTTTCGCTCAGAGATCACAGTGCCATTGGGCTGGCTTCTGTGAGCATCAGCATATAGCTATATAGCAGAAGGGTCCCTTCTCCAGGTTGGTCCTGCTGTTCCAAACCCTTGGGCTCCTGTCACACACTGCCCCTTGCCCCTCAAGATCCCTCCCTGGATCAGGTACTTGGGCCTCAAGGTGATC